TATGCAAGTTTTCTATATCAGCCATACTCATGTTATGTGCAATTGTAAGATGCCAGTTATAGTGCTACATGGGTTACTCCTGAGGGCATTTTTCACCAAAATATTAAAAAATCCGCAAACAATATTTTAAAATCCTGCACATTTTTTGTCAAAATAACACTACATAATCACACCAGTTTCAATTATTTTGGTAATTTAATTCAAAATACCTTTTACAGACATATACTTGCTGACAATACAGACATACACAAATTCCCCCAGGAGCAGAGTATTAAAGAAACCCCTATGACAACCCACTTCCTGTTTCTCTGCCTCCTTCCCCTGCCCCACAAGCCCAGCAGCAGGGCCCTCACAGCCAATACACCCAACCCCCCTCCCCGTCCCCCTCAGAGCTAAGCCACAGGACCTCCCCATCCCAGATACCTGCACCCTCTCCCCCTTGCCCAGATACCCACACCCCCAACCCCCCCACAGGCCAGCCATAAGCCCCCCAGCTCAGACAACTGCTCTCCCCCTCCCTTCCCCCCAAACCCAAGGATCCTGAGGGAGAAACAGCCTGATGCTCCAGGCTTGCATGGAGTTTCCTGCACACTGCCCTCTCCTTCCCTCAATGCGCACTGGTAACTGCAGCTACCAGGAGCCTTCTATCTCCATTTTCCCTCCCCTCAGCAGTGTATGTGTGAGCTGAGCTGTGCTGGGTCCGGTGGCCCCTAGTGGTGGCTAGCAGCCCATTTCTGTGGGGGAAAGAAAATTCTGTGTGCATAACGTTAATTTCTGCAAAATTCTGCATTGCGCAGTGGCGCAGAATTCCCCCAGGAGTAATGGGCGCATCAAATGCATGTGGCAGTTCAGTGACTGACGGAAGTAAAAGTGGCCCTTGAGACTTACCACCAAAATGGGCCCTATTGCGGCCACCCTTCCTTACCCAAAAGCAATCCCAATGAAGTAACTGGAACTATGTTTGTGTCAGAGGATTACAGAATTAGGCCTGGATCTAGACATTTTTACATGTGTATAATGGATCTACTCCTGCAACAAGCAACACCACCTCAACAACAATAGTGGCTTTAAAAAAAGGTCTTGGCTAAGACACCGTCCACTTTTAAGAGGTAGGAACAGAATGTTCAAGTCACAAGTTGTTAGTTTTTTAAATCCTGATCCCATTTAAGTCAATGGGAGTTGTGCCACTGACTGCACTGGGAATAGGGATAAGCAGTGGGTGCCCATTTTTCAATATCGTGAGCACAGTAGTAAATTTAATAGCCAAAACAGATCTTTAGAATCCTAAGAATGTTGCCTACAAGATTAAGTGTTTTTACTAGGTCAAATCAAGGGTTTTAGCTAATAGTGTCCCTTTAAGGAGCTTTCCATCTGTAATTTCAATTAAAAGTAATCTTCAAGGGGGAGCGTGCCTTTATATTAAGCCTCAATTTAAAAAAACAAAACAAGAAAAAAAAACCCACCTCATTGAGCACTCAGTAATGGGGATCAGTGAGATCACTCCCAAGAAGTCTATTAACTGTTGTTGAGACTTGGTTGTTTCCTCCCACAAAACACATTTATTTCAGGTCATTGTTGTAAATAAGCTACACAGTGATTAAGAAAAACCTTTAGACTTAAAGTTTTTCCTTTCTGCAAAGTGCAGTGACCCCTAAACTCATTATTAGCCATAAATGTTATACAAGGATTTGTCATCAACTTGCTGAAAGAACAAATTGTATCCAGTCTTCTACAGAGCAAGGCACCATCAAGCTATTGCTTTTTTTTTTTTAAAGCTAAATTTTACACTAATTTTTTTTTTTTTAAACAGGCAAAAAGAGATTCATTCCTTTAGACTCATACTTAAAATACTCTCAAGCAGGAAAGGCAACTTTTCTAAGATTACATTTCCTACTCTGGCCTAATCTATAGCCCTGTCCACCACTTGTGTAAGACTTGCTCCTTTTTTAGTTACAAACCTTCTATTAAAAATAAATAGAATTTTAGACTGGGCAAGATATTTTCCTACACAGATACTAAAAACAGGAAGTTGGATATAAAAGAAGGAAACTTGGCAATGAAGCAGTGTACTTTGAGTATACAAATAGTTATATCAATTTTTTTTTCATAGTCGTTTCTTATTTGGCTCATCTTTCCTGAAATAGCACAGTTATTAATCTACTACATGTAGTAAATATTTCCACCTCTCAATTATGTTTATACTTTGCAACCACAAAAACCAGATTATCCCCACTTTACATGAGGGTGAATCTACAGCCTCACCTTCACTAAGAAAAAAGGTTTTTAAATACATGTTAAAGTATATATTGTCCTGTCTACACTAGGGTAGTCACACATTAGCTGGTCGGGGCTCAACTTTAGTGGGGAGCCTAGGTTTACATTGATCAGCTAACACTTTAATAGTTTAGACCAGGCCAGGCAAGTTTTAATTTAAAACCCGTAACTAGCATGCCAATAATAAACGTTTATTCCTAGTGGAGGTCATGTTTACACAAGTGGGATTTGCCCTGGCCATGGAGAGTTGGGGTGCTTTCCCTCTGCACTATCACTCACTCGTCACCTAGACGTCACAGAAGAGTCTATGTGGCTGCTCTTTGGGGTCTTCTCTCCATGGAGATTAGGAGGCACATGGAGGATGTGGGTGGGAGCAGAGCAGGAGACTGAACATTCTCCCCTGCTCAGCACCCAGCTTTCCGTCCTCTCTTTAAAAAAACAAACAAACACACTGCTGTTTCCAAAGCAGTACTGAGTCCTACTGCACCTCCATCACAGCTGACACAAGCGATATCACCAGTAGGAAAACAACAACAGATGCACAGAGTGTCAATCGCCACAGAACTTAGGTGTCTTTTCCTCACTGATCCCATGACTGATCTCCCCACTCCCATTAGAGGATGATGGTTCCCTGAAAATGCTGGGAGGTGAGCCTCATGGAATTTTCTCTGGCCGCCTCCTTCAGGTTCCTCTGCAGGTGATCTGTCCCTTAGTTATTATGGAGCTGTATGGCATTTCTAGGAGTAAGAATTTGGTACGTCTTCCCTCTGGGTGCATTAAGTATGACTACTTTGTATTGTGGCATGATGCAACAGTCCAGTATATGTTAAAAAAAAAGGAAGCACCCTCAACATAGCCAGTTGGACAGGTTAGACACTTGTAACATTTGATCAGAAAAAGGATTTCATGATGTGGCATGAACTGCTTCTAACAAGTCCATTGTAAACAAAAACAGTTTCAATTTTAATAAAGCATTAGTCACATATCTCAGCATTTCTCAATAAATGTATCCAGTGCCCTGAGGGTAAAACTATTCCTGTTTACTGAGCTGAGGGGGTGGGGGGTCTCATACACAAGAAGAATTATTTGGCTGTAGAGACTGAAACTAAAGCTCAGAAGTATAACTCTTTATAAGACAGTCAAGAAGTAAAAACTAGTCTCCGAGCACTCAGACACAGTTAAACAAGTCTACTCTGTGTCTGTGCATAGCTCCCACTGAAGTCAAATAACTATAACTTCATTTTGCTTCAAGCACTGGAGACTTTTCACTGCATCAATAGCAACAGGCATTTAGTTGAGTTTCTCTCTGTTGGAAGATCTCCCTGAGATCCCCACACCCCGCTTTCAAATTGCCAACTCTAATTTTCTCAGTTTCTATCAGCAACCAAAGCAATTCACCACCACTGTTGGATGAAGTCACTGAAAAACCTCAAATGCAGCCTCCTGCTACAAGGAAACATTTCTTTAGAATTTCTTCTCTTTCCCCCTTCCCTCTGCATTCCATTTTCTTATAACCATTTTCTCCTTAATTTCTAGGCACTTTTCCCTTCCCAATGACTCAAGTAATTTCTTTGAGGATTTTTGTTGTTTTTGGAGGGCAGGTTTCTAAAATTTTTCCTCCCCTGCCAAAGAAGCCCTGCAAACCTTTCTTTCAGCTCCCTTCTCCTTAGCCTACCAACTCTTCTCCTTAATCTGCCCAAGTGAAGGATGTGGGTTCTAGAGTAGGAGATACAAGCCGCATCTCCAAAAGCTGAGTGTGCTGTATCCACGGTGTTGCTGACTCCTATTTGGCCCAGAGATCAAACTCAGTCCTATACTGATGTGTGTGCACCTCCTATTGGTCCACTTACCCTACACAGTCAGTCCCCTCCTTTCATTGGAGTTACTTTCAATGGGTTATGTGGACTGCATCCAATACTACCTGTATGGCCCTGAAGATGTCACATGGGCTGCAGCTCTGTGCTGATTGGGCCGCAAGCGGCCCGCGGGCTGCAGGTTGAGAAGCACTGCTATATACAGTTCTCTCTTCCTCCCACCACTGGCTTCACTTTATCGTCCTTCACTTGGTATCACATGTGTCTGCTGCATTTTCTTCTGAATAGGAGAACCTGCTGCCCCTCCATTTCAACCCTCCCCCCATAAAACACCCCAAACAAAAACTAACCCTGTATTATAGGGTCTCAGCTTTCTGTTTCTCAGAGAATTGAGAGCAGGGGAAAGGGGAGAGAACAGATTTAAAAACTACACAAGACTGAGAATATGGTGCTTGTTTCCACACAGTGTGGACATTTTAGTTCTATGCTCCGATTCAGCGATGGAGGGACATTCCTTCCCCCCTCCCCCCAAGTGTATACAAGGCTTTAAGAGCCAGGAACTGCATTCCTAAAGCTGCTTCAGGGTCAAATATAATCAGCATTTCTAGGTAAAAAGCCTAGGACTCAATTCTGATTTTACAGAGCCAGAATACTGTAAAGAGCCCTAGTGTAAACGGAAGTCAGGACCTTAAGCTTTATAGAGATGCTCGCATGTGCAGCATATACATCTGCACATAGTACTGTAACTAGTTTTAAACCCTACAGTTACATGTATAAACTGAAGTGAACTGACTACAGCAGGTTCAGTACAACACTTTTCTTAATACATGCAAAAAAGCAAAAAAGTGTGCACTCTCTCTACATATAAAGAATTACACCCTCCCTTGCTCAAGTGATTTTCTTGCATCCTACCTGAAAGCAGGTGTACAGAGTTGAAATTGTTCTCCAACTTGCCCAGTAGTACAGTAAGAAAGCATTCAGATGATAGAGAGGCAACATCCTTGGAACTTTGATCATATACCACCACCTCCTGCTTGCAATCAATCTCAATCTGAAAAGCAAATAATTGCAGATAAGGGAAAGGATAGGAAACCTTCCCCCTTACCAAACAGAATTAAGAGACCCTACATATTTACTGTACAGTGGTTCCAGTATCTGGATTTTACATACAGGTTTAAACCAAACTGACATTTTTAGACCTCTTATTAGACCTGACTGTACTGTATCCCTTCGGGGTTTAGTAAATGGAATATCTGATCAGGGCTGAAGCTTGTTGCATGAGGTTCATCCACTGGGCAAATCTAAGCCACTTTAAAAAAAAAGTTTACCTGAAATTAAGGTGTTTTGCATTCAAATGTAAAGCAACAAACCTTTAGTTTGGGAGAAGAAACTATTTATCTAACCAAAAGACCTTGAACTGCTACAAGTATATTTTATTACATCTATAAAATTTGATGAACTTTTTTGAAAATTAGACTTTCCAGATTACACCATGTATAAAATGTCAACCTGAGGCAAAAAGTTTATGCAGACAGTCACTCTCTTCCCCTCCCCCCCCCCATCTTTTCTGCCCAACTCAAAATATTTTGGAAAAACATTAAACAGACCTCTTAAATAAAATCCACAAATAGATTCACGTAAGTTACACTTCAAATTCTCTCTCATTGGCCTAATTCTGAAATGCTTACCTTTTCAATCCAAATAAAAGATATTTCACAGTTACCCAGAATGGGTGGGTTTTTTCTAATTTACACATTTCCTTCCACAACATACAGGGAAACCCCTTAATAAGCAATCCTTGCTGCCTGAAAAAAGACCATCCCAAACAATCCTTGAAAGTATTAAATATAGTTCTCTTCCACATGTATAAGAAAACAACTTCCAACAACTGGATTTTTGTGTTGGTCTCTCGAGGGGCTCCTTACCATGGGATTCATTGTATTTCATACACCAAGATGTTTGAAGTTTAATTTGCAAAAACATATACTTGAAATATGAATTAACTACATATAAAGGACCATACTACATGAAAAACCCTTAAGAGGGTTATAGAAAAGCAAACTGATGGGGAGTTTTATTTGAGTAATCTTAAATTCTTAAACATTACTGTATCGCCTATAGCATAATTTCACCAATATAGCTTATTTACTGTCGCTCCTGGGAAGTAGATAATAAAGTTGTGGAAGACTGCAGTTCATCGTTACTCATTTCACTACAATGTAAGTTAATTTTATTTTAAAGTTTTACTTCCACACCACCTTAAAATAAAATAAAAAAAATAATAAAAAAGGCAAAAACCATCCTTACCTTGTGTTTTGCTGAATGCTGAATGAGTTCCGTAATCAACACTTTGTCCTGCTGCAGCCTCCGCTTCATAAGCTTGGAGCAGTTGATATTGATAGCATCCAAGATGTGGGATGTATTGTATTCCACAAAGGGACGGCTATCAATCAGTAGCAATTTTTCTGTGCCACTTTCCAGTAAAGCCACCAACCTCTCAGCAACCATGAGTTGAGTCCTGATCATCTCATCAGCCATGACAACAATAAGGCCTCTTTTACCACCTCCCTCTCTAATTTGCAGAGATGATGTAATGGCTATGTACTCAAAGGCTTAGCCACTCCATTGTACTGAAAGTGTATGAGGTCATGCTGGTAGTGACTGGCAAAAGAAAAGTTAAACCCATTTTCAGAAAGAGCCCTCCAAGTGAATGTCTCCTTCTGCTTCCAGTTGATGCGCTGTTACAAAGGACTCATTCCACAAAGCAGCCCCTCACATCTGATTCATCAGGAGACGACTATGGAGTAGCCATTTCACAATTCAAACAAAAGATGCTTTTGGGCTGCCACTGCATTACATCATTCTTTACCTATGCTCCCAGCTTTGCACCGGACTGAGGGCCTAGAAGACAAAGAAAGAAAGAAAAAAGAAAAAATAAAAGCACGCTTGCAGTATACAGTATTTGACATTATCACAATCTAGCCCATGCTCTGTGGACATTACATTTTTAATATACACTTGAAACTTCACATTTTCTTTGCTGTACATTCCAAAGAGCTAGGGGTAATATCTGGAAGTGTGGGCTCTGACTCTTTTCTGACTCTACTCCAACTATCCCAGCTGTACAATTACCCTGTTGGGGCAAATACAGTCAGTCTTAACTGAAGAATTTTGTTGCCACTGGAACAATCTCTTTGTAAGACTGTGCATTAGAATAGAATTATGCGACACTGCTCTAAGCAGTGGTGTTCCTGTTCAAAGTACTCCTGTTCTTTTTGCAGATACAGACTAACACGGCTGCTACTCTGAAATCTTCTAGGTGTGTTGCAGCAGATTTAGTGAGAAGATCTACAATTTATTAGGGAAATGTAAGAGCTTGATGCTTTGAAAAGGATTTTTTGTGTGAGCTTGTGCTCTGTCTTTCTTGAAAATTTCACCTTAAGGTGAGGGCAAAAATTTGAGTGGAAATTATCAGGAGCTAAAATGGAATATCGTCTCCCCTGGTTGGAGAATGTGGGTGAAGAGAACACACAAGCAACATGCTGTCTTCAGGACCCAAACTTTTTGATTTATCATTCAACATACAGTACCAATGACATAAGTCTTGTCTACGCTAGAGAAATTCACCATGCTAAGCCCTGTTTGTTCAGTCTAATTGGAGCACTTGTGAGAGGTGTGTTACAAACAGTTTACATGCATGCTAAATACCATTTAGAGGGGACTTCAGCAGAGCTAAATACTGACTTAACCTGAACCAATCCAGCTTAAACAGTTTTAGTGCCAGAGTGGTGGACAAACTAGATGAAATGGTTCAACTTGTCCTCCCAATACAGTCAGTCAATCAGTTGCTTTTTGAAGTCTCCCAGAGGACACTGCTTCTGGAACCTGTGGGATATGTACTCAGAGGGCAGAGCAACCGACACAGTTTAGGGTTAACAAACAAGGGCAAACCTGCCAGAAATTCAGCATGGACCACAAAGGGCATGTCTATACTGAAATTAAAAACCCACAGCTTGAACTAAGGGGCTGTTTAATCGCAGTGTAGATGTTCAAGTCCCAGAGCTCCGGCTGCAGCCTGAGCTTGAATGTCTACACTGCAATTAAACAGCCCCTTAGCCCGAGCCAGCTGGCATGGGCCCTCCACAGGTGTCTAATTGCAGTGTAGACATATCCAAAATGAACCATTTGTTTTTAAATCTGTGCAATATATCCTTCTCAGACACAAGTGGTTGCATTCTCTAGTTTATATGTGGTTCTGCAGTGTAGTGCTGCTGTTTTCTGTTGTTTAGGGAAATGTCTTGTATGTAAAACTGAAGTATCGCTTTGACACAAAGCAAAGTACAAATCCAGCAGCTCTGTCATGTCAACTAGCTATAGCCTAGGCTTGTAGCATCTGACCTGCAAACAGGCAATCTTAATTTGCTAGTGGTTGTACCAGACTGATGATACACGAGCAGGATAATCCAACCAGCAGGATTGTTAGAGAAAAGGAGCAGAGGGAAGAGGTTTAAAAAAAAAATTGAAATCCCCATAACGATCAGTCTCTTAGGGCAGAGGTGGGCAAACTACGGCCCACAGGCCACATCTGGCCCACAGGGCCATCCTGTCCGGCCTCTGAACTCCCAGCCGGGGAGGCTACTCCTCAGCCCCTCCCCTACTGTCCCCCCCGCAGCCTCAGCACACTGCGCCGCCAGCACTCTGGCCCACCGCTCCTGCCGGGCAGTGAGGCGGTGTGGCTGGCTCTGGCATGGTAAGGGGGCGGGGGATTCCAGGGGGCAGTCAGGGGACATGGAGCAGGGGGCGGTTGGATGGGGCGGAGGTTCTGAGAGGGGGCGGTCAGGGGACAGGAGTGGGGGTTGGATAGGCGTAGAATCCCAGGGGGCTTGTCAGGAGGTGGGGGTGTGGATAGGGGTGGGGGAGGTCAGGGGACTGGGAGCAGGGAGGTTGGTTGGGGGGGTGGGGCTCTGGGGGGGCAGTTAGGGGCAGGGGCGGTGAGGGGACAAGAAGTGGGGGGGAGGTTGGATGGGTCAGAGGTTCTGAGGGGGGCAATCAGGAGGTGGGACGTGGGAGGGGGCAGATAAGGGGCGGGGGCCAGGCTGTTTGGGGAGGCACAGACTTCCCTACCCGGCCCTCCATACAGTTTTGCAACCCCAACGTCGCCCTCGGGCCAAAAAGTTTGTCCACCCCTGTCTTAGGGGGATACAAATTAAGCATTGAAACATTTCTATAAACTTCAAATCACTAATTTTTTTTTGCGGGGGGGGGGGGGAGAAGCGGGGGGGGGGAATTGAAATTTAATACACAATGCACATGCAAAGATAAGAGGCTTTGAACACAAACCCATCTGCAATACTAAGTTGTTGGATTTTTTAAAAGAAAAATCTAAAAGAAATTTGAGGTAAGTATTCATCTAAATCTATCCATAATACGTCCAGGGTAGAACACATCTCTTACAGCCCTAATCCTGAACTACAAAACAGTGCTGAGATAGGGATGGGCCTGCAGACTTCCCAGGGCAGAATCAGGGTCTAAAGTAGCACATGCACCTTGGTCTGCAAGCATAACGAACACAACACTGGTTCCAATTGTGTAAGGTGGTGAGTGCTTTTAAATCCCACTGATTACAAGTGGAATTAAAGGAGCTCAGCACCCTGCAGGAGGCACTTAACACCTTGCGGAGTCAAGTCTGAAGAAAACAACATCTTCATTGTGATAAGCTCATGAATTCAAATTAATTCAGAAATGGTTGTATACATGGCTTCGGTTATAGTAACAGGTCATTTGTGTTTAGCAGTGGGAAATCCCACAGCAGTAGGTGTTCTATTAATTAGATAATTATTCTTCAAACACATCCACCCCCATCCCATATATCTAAGCTCAATTCAGAAAAGTGAACAAGGTTCATTCTGACAGAAAGAGTTAGTCTTAAACACACACACACACACACACACACACACCCCCCAACCCTAGGATAAATAACTTGTTTCATGTTTTAAAGAGAACAGCATTGCATTTACCAGCACAAGAAAAATGCCAGACTTTTACATAAGCAGTCACTGGGTTGATAAAATGTTGTTCATCTATTTGCCAAGACCCCACTGCTTACTGGCAAGTTGCCACCATTTCTATTCAGACCTAGTGAAATACATATTTCTCCAGAGGCCAAAATAAGTAGTGGGGAAAATTACAACAGCAGACCTTTAGGAACTAGTGAAATCCTATCTATGCAATCTGACTGGCAGATGCTTTTCCTAAATAGAATATTCACTATTAAGTACACGCTTATTTTAAAAGTAGGCTGAAGGGAATAAAAAAAGCTAAACTAGTTAACAGGCTTTAAACTATCTAGTTATAAAAGAACAAAGCATGGCTGGAACTTGTTAGCCTAATGAGTTATGCCTAATTTCTAAAACCAGCAAGAAAAAAAACTATTTTTAGATTTTTATTAATATATTGTACCCTAAATTTTGGATTCACCTCTCTGTACCCAGACATTCTAGAGCCTGATCCAAAGGCTGATGAAGTCAATGGGTGCCTTTCCACTAGCTACAATGGGATTTGGATCATGCCCTTACTGAGATAGACCTTCTGCTTGGATAAGTAACGGGCTGAGTTTAAGTCTGAATAACAAGAAGAAATACAGTAGGTAAGAAGTTTCATGAACTTTCAACATTCTTAATTTTACTGATTTACAAATGTTTAAAAACATTCCTTCAGAAAAGGATTATTAATTAAATTAGGAGGCTATGAAAAAGAAAAATATTCCCAGGCAATTTATTCCATCTTGCTGACTCAGTCAGCCCCTTCTCTCACAGTGTGAGTTTTTCTAAAGCCACAAATTCTTCTTAAAGACCCAAAAAATCTGATAGTAGGGACTCCCCTCCATCCCTCTCCCCCCCCCCCCTTTTATTTATTTATTAAATAAAGAGGCATGTCTCTCGGAGTCCTTTTAGTACATTTTCTAATACAGTTTTGTAATCTGCAAACTTCTGGCTGTGTTTACATAGTAGTAATTTGAATGTTACAAGCACTTTGACTTTAGTTTTGTCTCATTTGTACGGTTGCCAGTTTCACGTACTAAATTGCATCATGGAGTGACTCACTGTCAATTCGTTGTGCTCCACTGCAACATAAGTGACAACGTCATGAGGCTGCACTTAATTGCAGTATCATAAGCAGGCCATTATATTGCTGATCTTTGGACCAGGAAACATCTTAGAAAATCCAAGTTACAGGATGATCACAGGTATTGAAGTTAGCTGGAACTACAAAACATCAGCCAGTTATGAGGCTGTTGCATTAAGTTGTCAACATGGAAGGTCACCATACTGTGACAGATTTCAGAGTAGCAGCCGTGTTAGTCTGTATTCGCAAAAAGAACAGGAGTACTTGTGGCACCTTTGAGACTAACAAATTTATTTGAGCATAAGCTTTCATGGGCTACAGCCCACTTCTTCGGATGCATAGACTGGAACATATAGAAAGGAGATATATATACACATACAGAACATGAAAAAGTGGAAGTAGCCATATCAACTCTAAGAGGCTAATTAATTAAGATGAGCTATAACCAGCAGGAGAAAAAAAAAAATCTTATAGTGATAATCAAGATGGGCCATTGCAGACAGTCGACAAGGGGTGTGAGAATACTTAACATGGGGGAAATAGATGTTTTTCCCCTCCTGCTGATTGTAGCTCATCTTAATTAGCCTCTTAGAGTTGATATGGCTACTTCCACCTTTTCATGTTCTGTATATGTATATTTTATATATATATCCTTACTATATGTTCCAGTCTAGGCATCTGAAGAAGCGGGCTGTAGCCCACGAAAGCTTATGCTCAAATAAATTTGTTAGTCTCAAAGGTGCCACAAGTACTCCTGGTCTTTTTACCATACTGTG